AGAGGGCGGAGCTGGCCGTGGTGGTGGTGGTGCAGGGGCGGCATTTGGGTTGGGACCGACGAAACCAGAGCAGACCGCGAAGAGGGCAAACAATCCGCCAGCCGCTAGGATAGCTTTTCTGCCGGAACCTGGAGCAACGGCAAAACGCAGAGTGACACCTTACTCAAAATATTACAAATAACAATCTGCTTATATTATAAAAGTAGGTAGGCTTCGTCTAATGGACTCTTTTAGGTGACATCACGCGTTAGCTATATCCCTCGAACACACGTTTCGGTAATAGTCTAGTATAGGGCTCACTACGATAACAAACCCCCAAAAATCTGAAATGTGGGACTAGTGATAATAAACGTACGTCAATTGAAAAAACTAAAATAATAACAATAAACTAAATAAAATTAATTAATAAAATAACAAAGTACCATTACCACCAGTCACGTATTAGAGATGTCCGTGTGGGCAATATATTAGGCTGTAACCCACGCTTCACTACCACTATAAAGCAGCATCAGTAGATTGCTTACGAAATGCGGTCAGATACTGAAGGCAGGACAGGGAGAGGAGTTGAAGTTGAATGCGACGACGACGAAGGTCACAACGGTGAACGTCCAGAAAGAGGTCCAGTAGGACGGGAACCGCTCCAGACATGCTTGCCCGTGCAATGTTGCGCTCTACAGAGTGACGAGGACAAAGAAGGAGCTTTTAGCTTTTAAAAAAACGAATAATGATATTACTTAAGAGAGTATAGTGTCCATTGAAGTCGCATTGGGACAACTTTATCACTACTGGACCCATTTCATCCTATTCCATATGTTGCTATGCGACTGCCTTCGAGGACTCTAAAGTGAGCTCCGGGGCAGGAAACGGAATGTACATATTCCACATAACCAGATTGGCGAGTCCCACATATACACTGCGCATATCGGTAGTCTAGTAGTGATTATTTACTTAAAATAGAACTTGCCCACCTATACCAATTGTTCCGATCTAACGGATATCCGAGGAGTTCCGTGAAGAACTGCCTCCGACGTCAGAGACAACTAAATGATCAGAGTTCTGATGGGGAAATGGTGCACAGGAAATTATACTCCTTGCTTTGCATGCAAGTAACTTCTAAAACAGTCGCTAGACAATTAACCGGTTTGGTATCTGCATCGTCCACAAACTGGCATCCTCCCTTCGCGCAGAATAATCTCAGTTGAAGGATCTCCTATCCAAGGAACATACAACATCGTTTAGCATATTCTGTGCGCAAACTGACAATCTTTTTACTGGTCACACGAGTCGACGACTCGGAACTCGCATTAACGAACACAAGCTGGTTACTCGTCGACGGGACCCTTTATCTCTAGTGTTTGCGCACGACCCTGGCTTTGACCATCGTTTCAGTTGGAACGGCACTGAAGTGATCGCGATGGCTAATAATAAACAGGCACGGGAATTCCTCGAAGTACGAATAACATAAACAGGCATGTTGACCCTGATGCTGACTACGAGAGCCTCCGATCACGGTGAACCCACTGGCGTCCATCTTAACAATAACAACACCTAATGCATACCCAGACATGCAGAATTTGCCTTCGTTTATGCCACTGCCCTTCACCCATGCCCCAATGAGCCAAACATGAGACTCCAAACACCTGGCCTCATCACCGACAGTCACAACATAATCATGTACACATCCCCCTCGCATGGCTATCGCCTCACCTTTCTCTCTGTCTTCTCAAATATCAATGCAACAATCCCACCTCTCACTTTTCGTGTTGTCAGGTGACGGATTGGTGCTACTGGCTTAAAAATTTACACTAGTAGATCTCGCTTTTCCGACGAGTCTTCTCCTTTCATCATATATATATTTTCCTGAACGGAGAGGGGGAGAGGCTGACTCACTCCATTTCATCAGAGAGAGGAGAGTGGAGAGAAAGAGCTGAATGATCTGCGCATTGTGTTTCACCCCCGTTGCCACCGGCACTGGTAGCAACGACAACGAAGTCCTGGCAGCTTCCTGACTTCCCGACGATGTCTGCTGCTGCTGCGAGTACGAACCGCCAAGCGGCGTCAT